GCGTGTTAAGACATGATTTAACCATCTTATTGTCTATCAAATAAATTTTGGATAGAAATCATAAAAATGTTATTTTTAGCGAAAATATGAATGATTGTAAGGAGTGTAATTGAACAAAAAATGATCCATTTTCTATGTATCTTAAACATACATCATCTCATCTCTTGTGATGGGATGGCAGCATCATTGATGAACATGGTGTATCTGATGCAGATATCAAACCATGGATCAGCAAAGCAAGAGTAGCATATTTACAACTGAAGAACATCTGGGATTGAAAACCATTGTCAACCAACAAAAAAGTTAGAAGTTTCAATATAAATGTCAGGACAGTTCTACTGTATGGAGCAGAAACCTGGAGAATTACGAAAGCCACCATACAGAAGATACAGGTGTTTATTAACAATTGTCTATACAAAATACTTCGGAGACGTTGGCCAGACACTATCAGCAACAACCTACTATGGGAGAGCACAAACCAGATTCCAGTGGACAAAGAAATCAGGAAGAAGCGCTGAAATTGGATAGAAAACATTGAAGAAAGCACCCAACTGCGTCACAAAACAAACCCTCACATATTATCCTCAGGGTCAAATGAAAGCGAAAAGGAAGACCAAAGAACACATTATGTCGAGAAATAGAAATAGACCTGCGAAAAATGAACAAAAATTGAACAGAACTGGAAAAGAGAGCACAGAACAGGGTGGGTTGGAGAATGATGTTCGGCGGTCTATGCTCCATTAGGAGTAATAGACGTGGGTAATATTAGCTAGAAGCTGTCAGAAAAAGAGAATTATACAATGTGTCCGATCTTCAAATAAATTTATTATGACCGATCTACGGAAGATAAGGTTTGAGAATACTGGTTAGTAGCCTATGGTCCATTGGGAGTAACAGGCGTAAGTAAGAAAGTAAGTAAGTAAGATGATCCGATAATTCGACAGTGATTATCAGATTATTTAATATATTTTGTAAAGGAATACGTGCTATTCATACACATTAACAACACTATCATCAAATACAAGTATTATTGATCAACTGTCTTATTGTTGTCTAGTTTCCCATGTGATATATCATCATGTAACCAGTCAAGTATAACATAACAGAACAGTGTAATATGAATATATCGATTTGAATATATATGAACTGAAACAGAAAATAGAGTAGAGAATATCTCAAATTTTGCTATGATTTATTCACTCTCACAAATTGGTATTGATTTGATCTGTGTTTCGATGTGAGACTTCAATGAAGTGATCTCAAATGTTATTTTTAATGATCTAAACAAGAACACCATTGGAAACATGAAAGCATTGAACCGATGGTCATAGGTTTGTGTTCCGTATGTGAGATCGTGAAAGTTCATTGATCAAGAGTACCATATTAGCACGAAACGGTCATCCAATGCTTTCAGGTTTACAATGATGATCGAGCATAGATTGAATCGTGAATTCAAATCGGAACATAATACATTCTCCACAAATGCTCATGCGAGTTTTTAATGAGTTCAATAAAAATGATATAATTTAATTTTGTATTCTGAAACACATTTGCATATAAGATCTATTATATTTAAAAGAAACATTCAATTCAAGATATTTGAAATGTATATTAGAAACACTTATTCATATTTATTAATTGAATTCATGAGTCAATTGAAGCTAGACCAGCATGGAAAACGTGTAAGCACTGAACAGATATTTCGTCCCAGTTCAGCTCAATACCGCTTCACAGGAGAACCAGACACCGTATAGGTTTCAGCACTACAATATGAATAGTACAGCTCAATCCTATGGTGCAACCACACAGGTACTAAGCACCCTGGTGGACCATTCGCACCATTTATATACACATTCACGCCACATGTTTAGTTATTCAGATCAATGATCACGTGAATCAATTATACACTGCACGAACAGGCCAAAAATGACCTATTCCGCTTGCACGACTGTCAAACTCATTAATGTAAGCAGTTATGATATGCCTTACAACGTCCCAATGACAATGGCTCTTGAGAACACTGAAAAGCAACCACCAGTATGAATGGAATTGGTTAACCAACAAACCAATTTTGTGCATGAACAGTCAGCAAATCTTGTCAAAGTAATGCCGTACTATCCACAATACCAATGGCGAACCTCCAATCTCATATCAGATCTTCAGCTTTACATAGCCATATAGCTTATTCTGCATACAACGCACTTATAAGATAGTAAATGAAATAACCCAATCTGAAGCGGGATACTACCCCTAACTAAATGTCTGAAAAGTCGGAAAAATGAAAATCTCGCAAATGAGATAAAAATAATCTTGTTGGTCTAGTAATAGTATATTCCGACTTCAGACAATGAGTTTTAAGCATTATTTAAGCCTTAACACTTCAGGTTGGGCTATTTCACTTACTACCCTACATATGTGTCGTATGCAGTATTAGAAAGAAAAACAACATCCAACAGTCAAATAAACAATCGAAAATATTGACAGTTCATTATAAACAAAAATCGAAAAAAAAGTTTTTCTCAATCTTTAGGTTGTTTTTTTTTCAACTTTTTAATTGTTTGTTACATTTTCGATTTTAATTAATAATTAAATTTTGTAAACGTTTTCACAGTTTGATAGTTGTTGTTTTTGCTTGAAGAAAAAAAATAAACAAAACAAGTCATTGTCCTACTAGGGACTCGTCAATTGGATGTATCTACATCCCAGAGTTGATGTTCAGTTTGAGACTTGAAACTAGTACTGTTCGATTCAAACGCCACCACGTTATCCACTTACCTACTGAGTTTTAATAGCCATTTGTTTGTGTAATGTGGTGAAGTTTAAATTCACTTGGTACTGAGATGGTGGAGAAGATTTGTAGCTCAGGTGGATGATTTTGATGGAGTTTTGTTCTCTGAGTTGGATGGTTTGGTCATATGTTTCACATATGGAGAAATTCGAACACTTCACTTCTATCTGAAGTTTGTGCTGATGATGTCGTTCAGAAGAACGATGAAAGCTCCACGACCAAACCATCCAACTTAGAGGACAAAACTCCACCAAAATCACTTGGTACTGTTTACTTAAATCTTCCCCCTTGTTATTAAGGATTGTCAGTGATCACTCTCATGTTGGCATATGTGCATCGTGTGTGGATTACTACGATATAGCCTTAACACCAAGTTATTAGTTATAAGTTCAAATGTTTTTTGCTCAATCTCTTTGATTTTCTCAACTTTCTACTTCCAGGCATTACACTTTCAAATATTGATATATGCTACTCATATTTGTCGACATCCTTATCACATACTACAGTATAATATGTAAAATTATGAAGAACAAGTGTTTATAGGATAACGGATATTATATAATGAAGTTGAAAATATTTACCACTCGATATTAATTTGATAGTTTAGGGAGATAATTCATAAAAGTTGTCAATCTATACCTATATTCTGTACCAAATCATTTGTCTTATAAACTTGATGAATTCAAACTGGTACACAACTCCTGTTCAACGTTCCAACTGACAAAACTTGACATAGTGTGATGCGCCCTGATGAAGAGTCCCACAATAGGACAAAATACCTGTTCAGTGCTTACACGTTTTCCATGCTGGTCTAGCTTCAATTGACTCATGAATTCAATTAATAAATATAAATAAGTGTTTCAAATATACATTTCAAATATCTTGAATTGAATGTTTCTTTTAGACATAATAGATCTTATATGCAAATATGTTCCAGAATACAAAATTAAATTATATCATTTTTATTGAACTCATTAAAAATTAGCATGAGCATTTGTGGAGAAGGTAGTATGTTCTGATTTGAATTCACGAGTCAATCTATGCTCGATCATCATTGAAAACCTGAAAGCATTGGACGACCGTTTCGTGCTAATATAGTACTCTTGATCAACGAACATTCACTAGCTCACATACGGAACACAAACCTATGACCATCGGTTCAATGCTTCCATGTTTCCGACGGTGTTCTTGTTTACATCATTAAAAATAACATTTGAGATCACTTCATTGGAATCTCACATCGAAACACAGATCAAATCAATACCAATTTGTGAGAGTGAATAAATCATAGCAAAATTTGAGATATTCTCTACTCTATTTTCTGTTTCAGTTCATATATATTCAAATCGATATATTCATATTACACTGTTCTGTTATGTTATACTTGACTGGTTACATGATGATATATCACATGGGAAACTAGACAACAATAAGACAGTTGATCAATAATACTTGTATTTGATGATACTGCTGTTAATGTGTATGAATAGCACGTATTCCTTTACAAAATATTTCGAACAATCTGATAATCACTGTCGAATTATCTGATCACCTTACTTACTTACTTACGCTTGTTACTCCCAATAGAGCATAGGCCGCCATCCAGCATTCTGCAACCTTTCTTAATCAAACTGATAATCTACTCACGAGATCATTTCCCATTGTTAAACCGATTAGATTATATAGGATAGAATATTTAGCTAATTAACCGAGTACCTGAACATTAATTATTAGAAGATATATTATAATTTACATTCATGATTGTATGACTATGAATTAATCGTCTGTTAGCAAAGATAGTTGGTCAATAACACTTGTATTTGATGATACTGTCGTTAATGTGTATGAATAGCAACTATTCCTCTACAAAATATATTAAATAATCTGATAATCACTGTCGAATTGTCCGATCACCATTCAGTAATTATGAGTTAATGAGATCGTTTTGTAAATAGGATTTTTTCTAACTAAGGAAACCATCTTATACTATAATAAATCATATTTGATTGTCCATATTTGACTGTCCTAATCACAATAGACTGAGTAATTGTTAGATCATATTCCATGACGTCAATCTCTATCCTTATATATATATAGTGATTTGTTCTTATAAACATAAATATCCAAGCAAACAGCAATTAAAAAAAGAAGAATAAAAAGAAAAATGAATCAACAACAACACCAACAATTCAATAATCAATTTATGACTTACGTTTTCAACAGTTAAAAAACATAAAACAAACATTTCATTGACAAACTCAAGTATAATCTATGAAAGCCTCATTTCCCCTCTCCCATTCTCCGTCTATATCATTGAATAAGATAATGGGAGATGGTAAATAAAGAAATTTTTCATTTTAATCATTCAAGAAAGATCATCATTAGCATCGTCTTGATCAATATTGAAATGTAATTACTGTTTAATGTATATATTCAATGTTAATTTAATTCCTGTATATCTGAATACAATAAAAGTACAGATTTATTTAATTTTTTTGTTATTTTTTTTCCCTGATCACAGTTAGTAACTATGAATTTTATAGAATATAGAATATCCCTTCATTGTATTCATGCCAATAATGTGTATCTAGGGTATAAAATATTATGTATATATACATATATCGGTCCTTTTGCATTAAGTAATGAAAGCGATATTCTCAACTGTATGTATATAGTATTCATAATATTAACCATTTCTATTATCAATATGCTTATTCGTTTATATTATTTTACTCCCTATCTAGATGATTCATTGAATAGATAATAATTATTGGAAGTTTATATACTGTACATTGATTGGATAAATTAGTTTAGGTTTTATTCATTTTCATAAAAGTTTGTCATATATGAGTGGATAGTTCATGTTGTAATACATTGTTCTTTTCTAATAATAATAATAATAATAATAATAATAATAATAATAATAATAATAATAATAATAATAATATGTGTTTGGAGGATAGTCACTTTGAATAACTATCCCCCTCCCTTTCCAGCCAAATAAGTTGGTGAAGCCTAGTATGTCTTTCTGGAAAGTAACTGGCTACATCGTAACACGGTACATTTACAGGGGATAGATTAGCTGTTTTTTACAATCAGTTAGAGTTTGCTCCATAGGGAGCAACCCTGTACATTCGATGCACTAATTTTGTGAATTTTTTATCGGTTTTATGCTCGATCAGCATTGAAAACCTGAAAGGAATAATTGTGCTGTGATTCTTTGTGGATTTCGTAATCAGTTTGTGGGTATCAGTCGAGTGGGTGATTAGTTGGATTTCTACCACCTGGGTTACCGCTTATGTTAGTTCATGGGATTGAGTCCCACTATCCAAGAGGCACGATGTGGACGTGTTAGTCGGGTTTTGTCCCCCGATTTAACTATCGGTTATAGATATATTTTCTTCTGTATAGTTAAATGGTTTGAAAACTATCGCATTATACATTTTAATCATAATAGTAACTGTTTTATACACTAATGTTTTTAAATATAAGGTTTTATGATAATGTACGGTACCTGATATAAACTAGAAAACTATTGATGAATAATTTAAAAGTTGAATTGATCAGTCGATTGAAGCTAGACTATCATGGAATACCTGAAAGCACTGGATGGTTGTGTTGTACTAGTATGAGACCCTTGAGCAGTGCGCATCTACAATACCGCCTCATGAGATTCGAACCAAGAACCTATCAGTCTTGTGCGCGAAAGCTTAACCTCAAGACCACTGACCCGGCCGGGATCCAACGGTGTTAATGTCTAACTTCAATCAATCTGATTATTGATGAGTACTTATTTTCAAATGAAAGTAAATTACTAATTGTTAAATATACTTGACCATTTGATCTGAATATATTGTCTGTAAATTTAATTGTATTGTCAACGGTCTAGAGGTTAAGTGTTGAAGTGAAAGGCCGAAAGTCCTGTCTTCCATTTCTTACAATGTGATCGTGAATTCAAACTGATGAGGAGTCCTATAATAGATAGTGTTAGTGGTCTAAATAAAATGTGAATTTATCAAACACCTGAATACTAACTTCACGAAAATATGGTAACTGAATTAGAATTATCTAATTCAATGAGAAGTAGCGAAAATACAATATTGTTCACCACTTAGACTTACAAAGGTGGTACAATCTTCAACGTTGTTATGTTAATGTAACAGTAGATTAACTGAAGTTTTAAATGTTTGTCTGAAATATTATTCATATGCATAATATAAAGGATTAAAAACAGGATTTAATTGTTAAGGGTGTTCTAAATTTTATGAAAACGTTCATCTTCGTATTTTCGTAGCCGTAAGTTTTACTCCATTATGTTATAACTGGCGGTTAGTTTAATGTAGGCTGGTGTATATTTTGGAGGTTATAGAGATAAAATATCTGTTCTTTAATTATACTGCTTAATGAAATGGTTTCATCTATGATTCGTTTGCTGACGATCAGTTGTTTCAGTTTATAATAAGCTGAATATATCTGGATTCTAATGTTAGTTTCCACGCCTGAACTCGGATCTAATATTTTTTCTATTTAAGAGCTTAATCAGTTGTGTAATCAGCAACATATGCCAAAATCGATTGCGTGAAATTCAGTCTTTAACATCAGCATATAGAGCTAAATTAGTTAAAGTACTCATGTGGTGCTATAAATTCTTTTGCCAATAAGTTATTTCATTACCATATCTTATTTTGTATAATATTATTAAATGATGACGGTGATTGGTCTTTGATTGTCTTTGATTTTAGATAACTACAAACAGTCAACTATACAACATTTGCAGTATGCTGATAAATGAGTACTTCATTATAGTTACAGGATCTCAAATAAAGTGGGAATACCATATGATCATTCTGTTTTTTGTAATATAGTCTATGATGATTACTATTACTCTACTAATATTTTACTTACTCACTTACGCCTGTTACTCCCAGTGGAGAATAGGCCGCTGACCAGCATTCTCCAACTCACTCTGTCCTGCGCCTTCTTTTCTAGTTCCATCCAATTCTTCTTCATTTTTCTCATGTCTATTTCCATTTCTCGGCGTAATGTGTTCTTTAGTCTTCCTCTTTTCCTTTGGCCTTGGGGATTCCATGTGAGGGCTTGTCTTGTGACGCAGTTGGGTGCTTTCCTCAATGTGTGTCCTATCCACTTCCAGCGCTTCTTCCTGATTTCGTCCTCCACTGGGATCTGGTTTGTCCTCTCCCATAGTAGATTGCTGCTGATGTACTAATATCATGTGAAGTAAATCGAACTCTTACATTTTATATGAAGTTTCATATGTTTTCATATCATTTAATATACTACTGGATTCTTCCAAATTGAAGTTTCATTTATACCTTTACTATAAACTATCAAACAATGTTTTCGACTGATTAAACAAATCAGATTTTTTTACAACAATGTTAATGTGTTTTGCTATTAGAAGACTAATTATTTTTGATTTTTTTTGTCGATCATCTTTCATTGTATATGTTGTGTCTTATCAACGGTGTACTTACTTACTTACTTACTTACTTACGCCTATTACTCCCAATGGAGCATACGCCGCTGAACAGCATTCTCCAACTCACTCTGTCCTGCGCCTTCTTTTCTAGTTCCATCCAATTCTTCTTCATTTTTCTCATGTCTATTTCCATTTCTCGGCGTAATGTGTTCTTTGGTCTTCCTCTCCTCCTTCGACCTTCAGGGTTCCATGTGAGGGCTTGTCTTGTGACGCAGTTGGGTGCTTTCCTCAATGTGTGTCCTATCCACTTCCAGCGCTTCTTCCGGATTTCTTCCTTCGCTGGGATCTGGTTTGTTCTCTTCCATAGTAGGTTGTTGCTGATAGTGTCTGGCCAACGGATCCGAAGTATTTTGTATAGACAATTGTTAATAAACACCTGTATTTTCTGGACGATGGATTTCGTAGTTCTCCAGGTTTCTGCTCCATACAGTAGAACCGTCTTGACATTTGTATTGAAAATCCTGACCTTGGTGTTGGTTGACAGTTGCTTTGAGTTCCAGATGTTCCTCAGTTGTAAATATGCTGTTCTTGCTTTGCCGATCCGCGCCTTCACATCTGCATCAGATCCACTATGATGATCAATGATGCTTCCCAAATACGTAAAGGTTTTTACATCTTCCAAATCTTCTCCTTCAATTGTGATTGGATTGGTGCATTCTGTGTTGTATCGGAGAATCCTGTTTTTCCATTTGTGTATATTGAGACCTATTGCTGCTGAGGCTGCTGCCACACTGTTCGTCTTCTCCAGCATTTGTTTTTGCGTTTGAAATAGATGGGCCAGATCGTCTGCGAAGTCCAGATCATCCAACTGCATCTTAGATGTCCATTGTATCCCGTGCTTCCTTTCAGATGTTGACGTCTTCATGATCCAGTCAATCACCAAGAGAAAGAGAAAGGGTGAGAGTAAGCGACCTTGCCTAACACCGGTCTTCATTTCGAACGACTTTGTCAACTGTCCTCCATGCACAATTTTGCAGTGTAATCCATCATATGAGTTCTGTATGATATTGACTATCTTCTGAGGCACGCCGTAGTGTCGAAGAATTTTCCGTAGTGTTGTTCTGTCCACGCTATCAAATGCCTTTTCGTAGTCAATGAATTTGATGTAGAGTGATGAATTCCATTCAATTGATTGTTCCACAATCATCCGTAATGTTGCGATTTTGTCTGTACACGATCTATCCTTACGGAATCCTGCCTGTTGGTCACGAAGTTGGGCGTCTACGCAGTGCTTTATCCTGTTTAACAATACCCTGTTGAAGACTTTTCCCGGTATTGAGAGAAGAGTGATGCCCCTGTAGTTATCACACTTGCTGAGATTGCCTTTCTTCGGTATTTTGATCAGGAGTCTCTCTTTCCAGTCTTTTGGTACTTGTTCCTCATCCCAAATCTTATTGAAGAGAATGTGGAGTATCCTTGCAGTTGCCGCTACGTCTGCTTTGAGTGCCTCTGCTGGAATGTTGTCGGGTCCTGCTGCTTTGCCACTCTTGATTTGTCTGATGGCCATACTGATTTCTTCAATTGTTGGTGGGTCAACATTGATTGGGAGGTCCGTGGGTGCTGCTTCGATGTTAGGTGGGTTCAGTGGAGCTGGTCGATTCAACAGTTCTTTGAAGTGTTCTACCCACCTGTTTCATTGCTCTTCAATGTTGATGATTACCTCGCCTTCCTTGCTTCTCACTGATCGCTCCGGTTTGCGGCGATTTCCAGAGAGTTTCTTTGTCGTGTCATACAGTTGTCTCATGTTTCCTTCTCTTGCAGCCTTTTCCACCGTCGTTGCTAAATCTTGCACATATTTACGTTTGTCGGTTCCGATGCTCCTCTTCACTTGTTTGTTTACTTCTGCGTATTCAGCTTGTGCCTTGGCATTTTCTGCTCTTGTTCGACTGGTATTGATTGCTGCCTTCTTGTTCCTCCTTTCTTGAATCTTATCAAGTGATTTATCAGTATCACACAAAATCAATCGTCGTTTTCAGTTTCGTGTTTCTTTGCGCAAACGTTTTATTCATCTGTCAAAATTAGTTTCATTGAACTGAATTTTCCGTTTTGTTGAATAATATGGTGATAGAGAATATTTGTAAATGATATATTATTGTTTTCAAATTTTTCATTGTTTTCATGCGGGAACTAAACACGGATAAACTCTCACGGTTAAGGTTCCTCACTTAAATTT